CCAGGAGAGTGCTGGACTTCCTCGTATATCTTGCACACAGTGGCTTGGTGTGTGTGTGTATGTGTGTGTGTGTGTGTGAGAGAGAGAGAGAGAGAGAGAAAGAGAGAGAGAGAGAGAGAGAGAGAGAGAGAGAGAGAGAGAGAGAGACTGTTGCCATGTGCATGTGTGGAGGTTACATGCTGCACAAGCTCAGCTCATTACCCATTCATGTAGTTACTGTGATCATTTTCAGGCAGTAAACACGTACCAAGAAGAAGTGGAACCAGGTATGGTGGCCCACACCTTTAATTCCAGTACTCAAGAGGCAGAGGCAGGCGGATCATTTTGAGTTTGGACAGCCAACGCTATATAATGAGACCCTGTCTCAAAAAAAAAAAAAAGGAAAAAGAGAGAAAAAAAAATTGTACGTTATGCAGGCCTTCCAGCAGAGGGCAGGAAAGTCACATGGGAAGGGTCTCTCCTGAGGCGCCAGAGAGCTACTGGTTCTGTCTTACCTTCCTCTGCATAGACAGGAACCTTCGAGGTGACCTTCCAGGATGTGGTGATGGATCGACTTCACCGTGGGGAAGCGGGGCTGGTCGGAGCCTGGCCAGAAGGAGCTGCACCATGAATCAACCAGAACCTTCCAGCACTGGGCGAGCCCTGCCCAGCCTTCCTGGGAAGGCTGACTCGCCTTCTTTTCTACGTGTGTTTTGAGACAGTTTTGCTCAGGCTAGCCTCCAACTCCTAAACTTCCTGTTTCAGCCTTCCGTTGCTAGGATTACAGGCACGTACCACATGCCCCTCCCCTGACCTTCGGACCACGGACTCCTTGCCTCCTTCTGTGGGTGGTCATGAGCCCCAGGCTCTGTACAGGCTTGCTGGCCTCCTGCCTGGTCTGTTTTCTTCTCTTTAAAATTATAACTGGGCCTTTTCTGGAGACATTTAATTACATTTCTCTGTGTTTGCTCGTGTGTGTGTGTGTGTGTGTGTGTGTGTGTGTGTGTGTGTGATCACATGCAGCAGTGCTGTGTGTAGCAGTCAGGAGATGACCACTGAGAGTCTGCTCTATCATGTGGGTCCCAGGGATTGAGTCAGGTTGTTGGGCATGTTGGAAATGTCTTTATCTAGTGGGCCATCTCATTGCCCCTTCTTCTCATGGGTCCTTGCAGCCTACAGCCTCTCTCTGGAGAGATCTCGCCCTGGGCCAGCCTAATCTTAAGATGCTTTCCACCCTGTTGACCTCCATGCCCTTGTCCCTGGTTCCAGCAGTGTCAGGAGCCACTGTCATGAACCATTGCAGGCCAGGACACAAATACAGCCTAACAGCAATCGACAATTCAGATGTCAGCCCACCAGGGGACCCGTCTGGCAAGGCCTGCGTGTCACTGACTCTGAATACTGTTGCTCTCATCAGTAATTTTTGCACAATAACTGCTAATATTCTGATCCTGCCCCTTGGTGCCACCCTGTGTCCTGACGCAAAAGTCTCTTTTTAAGGAAAAACTCCGCCCATTTCTCTCTCTCTCTCCTCTCTCCACCCCCATGAGGTGTGCACCGCTCGCTCGGTACCACCTCCTCTCTTCCTCTCTCTCTCTCTCCCCCCTTCTGTCTCTCTCTCTCTCTCTCTCTCTCTCTCTCTCTCTCTCTCTCTCTCTC